CAATTCTCAATTCTTCTGGATGTTTCCATTGTTTATGCCCCTGAAAAGTTGTTGGTTTTTGACCAACTTTAACCAGCAGTCGTTCATAATACCAACGGTTGGGTCTACCTTTGGAGTTGTCGCTTTTCCCGGATGTAAATATGCTTTAATTATCTGCCTATACAAGGTTGCAAAAAAGACCGTCAGTGCTGTTCAAGCAGCCTAGACCGTCTGTACTACTTTTGAGTAGGCCCGTATGCTATACGTTTGAGCAAAGCCGGTTACCCTGACCAAGACTAATATGCCGTATGTGTTGCTTTGCTAGAAAGCCCGGTTGTCTCTTGGGTACAATGAATCATTAGAACGGCTTTATATTACCTCAACCGGTTTATGCCGTTCAAATTTATGATTAGTAGAATGTATCACCCGGATGGGGGTTGTTCTGCTAGGCGATTTCACCCAAGTAGGTGTCACCGGATGTCTATTTAGTTAAAAATAGAATGTTCAATATTATTGTTTATACTTTTGCCATAGGCATTTGCCGCCTGTGTGTTTCACGGGACTTTTTATCTTATGTACAAATAGTTTATTTTAACCGGTTTCACCAAGATTTCAAATGCGCTGTCAGTACTACTTAGGAGTAAATACCGGCTGTATCTTGGATGCAATGTATCATTCGAACGACCATTTATTTTCTATAACCCCAGCCGGTTAATTCCATTCGAGTGGTGATCGCTAGAACAATGTACCACCCGGAAGGGAGCTGTTCTCTTCAACAATCACCCAAGTAGGTGTTGCCGGATGTCTGCTCTTTTTGGAGCAGACAGTTTTAATTAATAATATTGATCTTCCGGTGTTTGTTGCACCGGATGAATACAAATGCAAATAATGTTTCTCATTCAATATACAAATTTACAAAAAATACGAAAATACAATATTTCTCAGAAGTAGTACTTTTTCAAGTTGTCTACATTCCAAGTACGAGGAAGTTCCCTGCCGTCTGGGGTTTCTAGACGGTAGGTACCATTTCTAACTTCTTCAAAAATCCGGTAGGGGCCTTCCCAATTAGGAGTTAGTTTCCCTTGTTCATTAGCCCTACCGGTCGCCTCAAGCTTTCGTAGCACAAAGTTCCCAACTTTGAGGGGCCGTTTGTGCACTCTCTTTTTGTAAGCTCTCGTCATTCTCAAACGGTAAATCTGATGACGTAAGGCAGTATTGCCCCTTCTTTCCGGGAGAGTGTCCAATGCTAGGCGCATGGCTTCCCAGTTTGCTTCTTCATCATAGAGCATGATTCGAAGTGTTGGTTCATATAACTCAATAGAAAGGACAACTTCTGTGTCGTATGCCAGGAGGAATGGGGTCTTGCCGGTTGCCCCTTTTTTAGTTGTTCTAATGGCCCAAAGGACGTGAGGTAGCTCATCCGCTCATACACCGCCAACTCTTTCAACTTTCTTTTTTATGCCGTCTGAGATGAGCTTGTTAAAAGCTTCAACCTGACCGTTTGCCTGAGGACGGCCTACGGATGCAAAATAATGTGAGATTCCTTGATCTCCCAACCAACTCTTGAGTATAGGCGTTTCGAATTGAGGGCCATTGTCAAAAACCATTGACATGGGTACCCCGAACCGGGTGATGATGTTTCTCCAAATAAAGGAGATGACATCCTTCGTTTTTATGCCCTTAACCGCCTCTGCCTCAATCCATTTGGTGAAGTAATCCACAGCAACCAGGATGTATATACGACCGCCTGTGGCAGGCGTATATGGCCCCAGAATATCCATGCCCCATTTGGCAAAGGGAATCGGGCTGTAGATAGCCGTTAGGTCAGTCGCCGGCTGGTGTATTAGACGGCCAAACCTTTGGCACTTGTCACACTTCTTCACCAGGTCTAAGGCATCTCCCTCAAGAGTAGGCCAAAAATAACCCTGCCGCCTGGTTCTTTTTGCCAATGATCTGCCGCCTATGTGTGAAGCACAATAGCCCATATGCAGATCTTCCAATACCTCTTTTCCCCTTTCCAGGGTAACACATTTCAGCAACGGCTGTAGGTAACCTTTGCGAAAGAGTTCCCCTTTATGCATGACGAAGCTTAATGCCCTTTTCTTTAGAGCAGCCGCTTCTGAAGAGGCATCCGGCAAGGTGCCATTTACGAGATAAGACCGGATGGGGTCCATCCAAGTAGAACTCCTGTCAAGAGCCCCAATGGGATCATACTCAATACTTCTCTTTTCCATGACTTCCCAGAAGACTGACCTAGGCGCATCACAAGTGGCGGATGATGCCAATTTTGAAAGTACATCCGCCTGATTATTTTCTGATTGTGGCACCTGACTTAGATTGAATTCATCAAGTGTCCCGACCTCATCCTTGACCGCCTAGAGGTATTTAATCATTGCCGGATGGGTGGCTTCATAGTCACCGTGGTATTGGCTGACAATTAGTTGAGAATCAGAACAGGCGTCAACTTTCCTTGCCCTTGCCGCCTCACACATGCGGATACCGGCTAGCAGGGCCTCATACTCAGCTTCATTGTTTGAAGCCTGAAATTTGAACCGTAGTGCATATTCATATTTATTCCCTTCAGGAGAATGACAAATCACGCCTGCACTATAGCCATTCATTGTAGAACTTCCGTCTACAAACAACTTCCAAACTTGATCAGTATTTTCCGGTTGTACCGGCCTAGTCATTTCAACAATGAAGTCGGCAAACGCCTGACTTTTCACTGCCCGTCTTGGTTCAAAAGTTATTTCCAGACTTTGAATTTCAATAGCCCTTTTTATCATTCTACCGGATGACTCCATAGTGGTCATTGGCCGTTTGAGTGGCTGATCAGTATAGACGGTAACCGGATGAGCCAAGAAATAAGGCTGCAACCGTTTGACCGCTTTATACAAAGCCAAACCAAAATTTTCAATCATGGGGTACTGGAGCTCAGAATTTCTAAGCACATGACTGATGAAATATACCGGGAACTGCTTGCCGTCTCTATCAGCAAGGAGAACAGCGCTTAGAGAATGATCTGAGACGGCTAAGTACATATAGAGAGCCTCTTGTGGTAGAGGACTCACTAATCTTGGTAAAGAATGCAAGTGCTGTTTTAGTTTTTGAAATGCCGCCTCAGCTTCTTCCCCCATTCAAATCTAGACCTCTTTCTGATTGCCTGGAAGAAGTAGAGACACTTGTCGCCTGAGCGGCTGAGAAATCTTCCCAACGCTGCCAGACAACCGGTAAGCTTTTGGGCCTCTCTAATGGTACGAGGCGACTGCATGTCAATCACCGCCTGCACCTTATCAGGATTGGCTTCTATGCCCCTTTGATCAATTAGAAATCCGAGAAACTTCCCAGACTCAACACCAAAGACACACTTTTTGGGGTTAAGCATAACCTTATGCCGCCTGAGGGTGGTGAAGGTTTCTCGGAGACCAGCTAGATGATCCGCCTGCAATTTGGCCTTGACTATCATGTCATCAATATATGCTTCTACATTCCTCCCAATATGTTTGAAGAAGACCGTGTTTATCATTCGTTGGAAGGTAGCAGGCGCATTTTTCAACCCAAACGGCATTACCGTGTAACAGTATAACCCTTGATCAGTGACGAATGCCGTCTTTTCCCGACCCTTCTTCCAAAGGAGAATCTGATGGAAACCTGAGTAGGCATCCATGAAGCTCATCAGAGCATGACCGACTGTAGAATCGACCAATTTGTCTATCTTTAGAAGCGGGTAACTGTCCTTTGGACATGCTCTGTTCAAATCTGCGTAATCTACACAAATTCGCCAGGTTCCATTCGATTTTTTCACAAGGACAACATTTGCTACCCAATCCGGGTAATAGCATTGCCGAATGAACCCGGCATCCAGTAGCTTCTTGACCTCGGCGGCTGCCGCCTAAGATCTTTTGTCACCGTGGTTCCTCTTCTTTTGCCTAACCGGCTTCTTTTTGAGATCCACGGCAAGTTTTTGGATAGCTAGATCCAGACTGACGCCTGGCATCTCTTCCACTTCAAATGCAAAAAGGTCCTAGAATTCTCTTATCAGTTGGAGCAAGCTTGTTCCCAACCTTTCAAAAGCAATCGTCCCAACTTTGACAGTTCTATCCGGCCGACTTTCATCTAAGACGATATCTATATTCTCGCCTGCCGGCTGGGGTCGGAGATTGTCTGATCTCTCCCCGGACAGTGATTGTTATAGCTTTTCCTTCGTGGCGGGTGCCATTTGGTCCGCCTTTCTCTTTTTACCGACTGCCCTCGGAGCCAATGCTTGTTGATCACAGTCGTCAAGTGCTACAACTTCCTCACCTTGACCGTCTGCGACCATTGTTGGTTTGATGTCTAAGAGGTAACACTCTCTCGCCGTATTTTGGTCCCCACTCAAGGAACCGACTGTGCCATCATCCTTCTCAAATTTTATCAACATGAGAGACGGTATGATGTCCACTTTGGAAACATTAAGGGTTGAACGTCCCAAGATCAAATTGTAGGCCGTCAGTTCCTCAACAACAAGGAATTTGACGACCATGTGCCGTCCGCTCCCCTTTTCACCCAGCCGGATGGGTAGGTCAACCCTACCCACCGGATGTACTACTCCTCCCCCAAAACCAACTAAAGGGTGAGGAGCTTGATGCATGCTGCCAGGCTTGTACTTGAGTTTTGTCAAGCACTGATAGCTTATTAGATCAGACGAGCTCCCGGTATCTATGAGGATCCGGCCTACTCGCTGATTAGCTATCTTACATCAATGACTATGGGGTCATCATGAGGCCGCCTAACCTGACCCCGATCTTTTTCAGAGATGAGAACCTCTGGGAAGGTGTTTTTAGACGACTGGCCCTCATCAACTGAGTTAACCAGCCTCCTAATATTGTCCTTGGCTCCCCAGATGGTAGGACCCCCACCAGCGAAACCGCCTGCTTTGGTGAAGATTGTTTCCTCATCCGTGTCAGAATGGCCAGCAGACATTTTTTACGGCTGTCCTTTGATCTGCCTGGGGGTATCCTTGGACTTGGGTATGTAAGATTTCAGTGCCCCTCATCAGCCAAGCAGTCAAACAACCGCCTGAGACTGAAGCAACCTTCCGTATCATGACCAACATCCTCATGAAAGTGGCAATATTTGCTTTTGTCCCGGCTGCTGACGGGACTCTTCATTGCTGCCGGCTTCTCAAGTTTCAACCGGTCTCTTACTTCCTTTAGAAGGGAGGTGCAGTCCTTTGTAAATTCATACTTCGGAATGTATGGGTCCGATCTCCTTCCTTTTTTCTGGGACGGCTGACAAGCAGGTTCCGCCGCCCATACTTCTTTCCTTTTCCTTTCTTCCTTCTTTGCCGGCTGAGTAGGCCGGCTCTGTCTCTTGTCAGCTTTCTTGTACTCTGATGGAATTTTTACAGCACAAAGTTCCATTGCCTGTATATAGGCCTCAGCTTCCATCAAGGCCTCGTGGAGAGTGGAAACCCTCTTTCTGACCAGATCAAACTTAAAAGTAGACCCGTCTTTCAGACCCTTGAAGAAGTCTGTGTAGGCAACATCATCAGACATCCCCTGCATCTGGATTCTCATCAGATTGAACCGCCTGACGTAGGACCTTAGTCCTTCCTTCTCTCCCTGCTGTATTGCCCCTAAATCAAGGGTCGTCTTTTTAGCAAGAATGTTCATGAAAAAGTTTGAAGTGAACCAGTAAGCCAACGTTCTAAAATTGTTGATACATCCGGCTGGCAAATTGCGAAACCACCGTTGGGCAATGCCCTTTAACGTAGTCGGGAAGCATTTGCACCAGGAAGCGTCCTCCAAACCCTGCAAATACATCAGGTTGGTGTAAGCCATGAGGTGATCTTCTGGATTGGTGGTACCATCATAGGCACCGACCAACACGTTTTTTATTTTGGCCGGCTGTGCCGCCTCAATTATATACTTTGAGAACGCCGTGGGTTGTTCCCTAAGGTTTAGCAGGCGGAGCTGCCAGTCCATAGACTGGACATGCGACGGCTGACCCCCAAAGAGGGCCGGCTGCTTGTAGGGAGATCCATACGGCATGTATGGTGACCCATACGGTGCCAGATGGATGATATTTGGGCCAGAACGCACGGAAACCTCGCGTGAGTGACTTCCCTTCTTGTCTCAGAATGTTTCATAGATACATTCTGGAAACTGTTCGGGTGGGTCGACGTTGAGACCGACGCGGACAAGTGGTGACTTCTCTTTTCTTGAATCAGAGTTCGAGCATCAGAGTAAGTCTTTTTTTATCCATCCGGCTTTATATGCCGGATGAGCTTCTTTATTCTCTCTGTAGGAAAACGAAGTTTCAAAATGTCGATGATCCTATCCGTCACCTTTGTCTTTGGGTGAGGCGTAGGCATGCGATCTTTCAACGATTTGGACGTTTTCTTTCCGGAACGAAGTTTTTCCTCCGCATGACCCTTACGATGGTTGGTTGAATTGTTAAGGAGGATTTTGATCTCCCCTTTGAAACTCGTCATGAGGTTCAAGAGTTCGTCTCTAGAGACTGGGGTAGCTCCTGCCGCCTAGGTTAACCCAAGCGGCCTTCCGGTCGGGCTGCTAGGAGCAGCCTTCGTCTCATCCCGTTCCTTCCTTTCTTTGGAACGGGTGCGCTTAGTTCTCAAAGACCCGTCTGGGGCAGTATAGGTTTCAACCTCATAATTGTCACTTGTGTCTTAGTCCAAATGGACCTCAGGTTCGCCAGGAGGCTGCTTACTCCCACCAGGCGGTACGGCGCCAGATGTTTCAGGGTTTTTTTGATGTGTCCTGCGGGAAAGTTACAATTCCTAGTATGCGCAGTCCGACGTCTGTACCTGCAAAATCACGGAGACTCCGGCTGGGGGGTGGAGTTCTGCCTCCAACGATTAAGTTAGAATACGTCTAATGTAATAAGTGTGGAACAATAAATACTTCTCGCTGATTGGGAGAATTCTGCTATTATCTATTGCTCGGGGTTTGTGTTTCGATTTTTGTATATCCCCACTAAATGTGGTCTCCCCCACTATTTATAGTGGGGAACTTTATTTCCCTGTTTAGGGTTCAAAGGACACGTGTCGCAAAGGGATTGGAGCCTTTGCTGACCACTAAGGGGATGACACGTGTCAGGGGCCTATTGGGCCACGTGTCTAGGGTAATTTTTACCCTAAACAAATACAATGTAACTAATAATAACAAATATAAATTTAAACATAAGATTTTAAAAATTACCCGGACATTGGTGACCTAAAACTAACACAAAATTAATAAATTTATCTTTTCCTATATTTTTACTTTATTTTTTTTCATTAAAATAATTGAATTCGTAGATTATATAATCTTCATGGCATTAAAATTTTAGATATATCAAATTTAATTCGTTACTTTTATCTAGGTGGCGATGCACGGTTTTTTTTTTCCATACATAAATCTCAAGAAAAGACATCTTCCTATAGACTCTAAGTTTATATATATATAATTATTTGATTTATTTTACAATTTAATAATTTAAGACGAAAAACACATAATAATTTAATTAAAGTGTTATTGCCTATTACAAAAGTATATTTTTTAATTTAATTTATTATGCGACTTTATTTATTGTTTTTTTGTATTTTATTCGTTGTTGTTAGTTATATGACAACTGAATTTAATAATATGAATAAATTGTAAATATGATATCTAAAAAAAAATTGTAAATATGATATTTTATCGATTACATATTAGGTTAAAATCTTTAACGTGAAAAGATAATTTTTTTTTCATTTTTTGAATAATTTAAATCCTAAATCATTATTAGTTGTTTTTTAAAAAATAGAAATAATAAAAAATAATAAAAACATGTATATTATTTATCTTCTATTTCAATAGAATCACCTACTTCGTTCACACCCATATCTCTTCCATCTAATAAAAGTGGATAAATAAAACATGTTAGCAAAAAAAAATATATATATAAAATTAACCGTTATAGTCTTATAAAATAAAGGCCAAATTAGAAAATAACACCTACTAAAGACCCCGATTTTGATAATAACACATGTTGAATTTTTTTTTTTTATTATAACACCTACAAAAATCCCAAAATTTTGGTTTCACCACCCACTAACGGACTTTTGGATGGAAACCGTTAGTGGGGCCCGCCATGTACACGTGTCAATAAGGTATTGGTTTAAAAAAAAGATAAATAAAAATAAAAAGTAAAATTAAAAAAAAAAAACCTAAACCCTAACCCAGCCACCAAAGCCACCACCGGCGGTCGTCACTCCACCGCCTGAGACCCCCACTACCGCCGGAAACCCTTCCTTCACTAACGAAATCACTGGCCATCACCCCCACCGACATTAGCCCCCCCCCCCCCCCGCAAATGCCCTTCCCCCTTCCCTCTCCCCGAAAAATCACCCCCACCCACCACGGTCCCCCCGCGAAAAACACCTAGCCCCTTCGCCCCCTCGCCGAAAACCACCCCTGAAATTACCCCTCACCTTCAAACCGGCCGAAATCGACCTTAGAAGCCCCAAATCTGTTGATTTCGCGGTGGAGGCGAACGAAATTGGCTGTTTAGGGGAATGCCGGTGTTAGGGAAGGAGGTTTGGGGGTTGCCGGTGTTAGGGGAGGGGGTTTAGGCAGTGCTGGTGTTAGGGGAGGGGATATCGGGCGGTGTCGGCGTTAGGGAAGGGGTTGTCGGTGTTAGGGGAGAAGGTTTCTGGGGCTGGCTGGGTGTTAGGAGTGTTCTGGCGGCTGGCTTGGCTGGGGCAGGTGGTGCCGGTGGTGGGGCTGGCTGGGTTAGGGGTTAGGTTTTTTTTTTTTTAATTTTCTTATTTTTTTAAACCAATGCACAGCTGACACGTGTACATGGCAGGCCCCACTAACGGTTTCCATCCAAAAGTACGTTAGTGCGTGGGTGGTGAACCCAAAATTTTGGGATTTTTGTAGGTGTTATAATAAAACTTTTTTTTTCAACAGGTGATTATCAAAATTGGGGTCTTTAACAGGTGTTATTTTCTAATTTGGCCTAAAATAAATCAATATATTACCGAGAAGTGAAAAATTGTTGTGAAATTGATCTAAAAATTGTAATTGTACAAAATCAAATCTATGCATTGGAATTTTTTCATCGTCCCTAATCGCCCAAACAATAGTATTTTGGAAAATTGAATCATTATTTTGTTGTCACTGACAATGCGTGCAATATTGCTTCTTATTTGTAACGAATGAAAAGTATTTAATTGAGTAAACTTTTCTTTCAATTAAGTTTGGACGAATTGTACAAAGTTGGCTTTAATTGAGGTATGAACGTAATCAAAATTAAGTTAATTTGATGAATTGATTAAGCTACCTAAATCACAAAAAATTTGTTCTAATCATAAAATTAATTAATATAAACTACAAAGGTTTATAAAAAAATTTAATAAATGTGAACAATTTATAAAGATATAAGACCTTCTCATCCAATAAGAACATCAGGCGAGAAACTTGTACTTTGATTTTCCAATCATTTTTGCTCGAATCTAATTCTCTGATTAAATCAGATCTGCGTGTATTAGCAAACAAAACATAAACATATAATTGTTAAGTATTCCAATTAAACACAATGTAAGCAATAATCACAAATATACATGTAAACATGGATTTTAAAAATTTAGCTAAGAATTACTAAGCCATTGATGACTAAAACTGACACAAAATTCTCTTGATTTGGTTTTGTATTGATAAGAAATTTTGTTGGTGTTGTAGGATGCGTCAATTTATAATGATATGTATCACAAATTTTAATTAATTTATTATTAAGGAATAATTTTTATTTCTTATCATAAACACTATCAAGATTTATCTTAAATACATAAATCCCATATCTAAAGATGATTTTTTAAAAATAATTTTTAATTTTTTAAATTAATTAAATCCTAATAAATCACTATTCGTTGTTTTAACTATGTGGCAAAATTCTTAAATCTCATTCGTCACTTTTTCGTAGGTGGCGAGTGAATTTATTAATTCTAAAATAAAATACAAATCTAGCTTTTGATTGGTCAAAATAATACCTTTGTTTATGTGGCGTGCCGAATGCTCTCGAAAAATGCCTACTTTATTTATATATATTAGATTTAGGTTGTATATTATTCTCTCCTTTTTTTTTATCAATTATTTTATTATTTTTTAAGGAAAAAATTAAAAAAAAAATTTGTGGGAAAATTTTAATTGTGGATGCGACATGTGTACTTCTGGATAATCCTGGTGATTATTTTAGTATATAGTATTGATACCTATGATAAAATATGTTTTTATAATGTTAATTAAAAAAGAAAATATGGTCGAAGCTAATACATAAATAGTGAAAAAATCCATCGTTCCAGATATTCTGAGACAGAGCGAATACTTGCTCCACTTTGCTTTTACGACCATATTAATTCTTGTTCCAGTTGCTTTTTTTAAAACTTAAAACAATATTTTACTATTTTCCTCTTCAATAGCGATCCCCTCATATCATATTTTACTTGATCAAAATCTACCTTCTTTGTACAAGAAAACTGGGTAAATACTTTCTTGACCAATGGAAAAGAGTTTGTCCAAGAATTCTTATTTGATGCGTGAGAAACAGGAAACACGTGGAAATTAACTTGTGACAGCAAGTGCAATTAAGAAGTTTGAAGAATTTGTAAATTTTGTTTGGGGGAAGAGTGTACGTGTGGAAGAATAAAAAGGGTTGTGCTTGAGATTGTAAAGTAATTTAGTGGAACATTTTTGTCTCATCAGTTATTATGATTCATGTGTTAGCTTGTGTGGACACCTATCAAAATTGATGTCGATCAAAGTTTTTAAAAAGATGTTTAATTTTTTTAAAGCGATGAAGCTTTATTTGAATAAATATAAAAGGATTCTTATGGAGTTTTTGATCAAAATCTCACCTTGTTTGATTAATTAAGTTTTAGAAGTTTTAGTTGTTGATTACACATTGGGAAAAAGTTATAAAGCCCTTGTTATCAATTTTGAAATTATAGTCATGTTCTTTAACTATTAATCATTGCAATCAAAATAAGAAAGTGTGTCAACTATTTTAAAAGGATATAAAGAGGAACGTGTGTCTATTTTATTATTTCAAAACAAAGAGGGAAATATAATATTAAATCACAAATTTGATTTTGTAGAAATTTCTACACAAAAATTAAATTAATGACTGATTGTGGAATTTTTTTTATATTATTAAACACTTTACATCCCATACTAGTTTTTACACTTATCATGTGTCATAGAATTATGTGATCTAGTTACTTCCTCCGTTCTTTTTCACTTGACTTGTATTTCTTTTTGAGAAGTTTCTTTTTACTTGACCTATTTTCTTTTTTTGGCAAATTTTACACTACTCTTTTCCTTATTTACCCTTACATTATGAACATAAAAATAACAATATCCCCCTTATTACTGTTTCGGGGTTTTCTAATGTCCTGCGGGAGAGTTACAATTTCGAGACTGGAACCGGACGCCTGTACCTGCAAAACAAACGGATGCTCCGGATGATTGGAGATCCGCCTCCAACGGTCAAGTTAGTACTTGATTAAAGAGTAATTAATGCGGAAATGTAATTTAGTCTCTCTAGGTGAGAGTGTTAAATGTGCGTAATCCCCCTTAATGAGGATTAATGGGCATATTTATATTCCTTGGGATGCGTGCCAATACTAGGTTTAGGTTAAACCTAAGGCTGACTGGGCTTCCCAAAGATTGGGCCTTGTTGGCTGATTTATCCTTTTGGCATGAATGGACATGTGTCGTGTCGCAATTGGTCCACGGAGGACGAATATATGGTTGACACGTGGCAGGCTCCTATTGGCCCATGTTACGGACACATGGCAGTACCTGACTGGTCCACTTGTCAGATGGTGATTGGTGGATAAAAATCCCCTAATCATTTGCCCCTCACAGGTGGCACGTGACTGGTCACGTGTGACCTGTGACAGGTGTCACACCGTAACAGGCGACGGCCTGCTACAGGTGTCACTCGGTGAAAGGCTGAGAGGTTCTCCCGCCCAAATTTTGAATTTGGGAGTGACCCTTCGCCTTCTCATTTTCGCCTATATTAGGGTGTGTTGACTTCAGTCATTTTCACACTTGAGAACTTTTGAAGAGAGCATTCGGACCCCTAAACTTGCTCTGACATTCCGGACTCTTTCTGCCTACCGCCTGCTCTGACAAGCCGGCTGCTCAGAATTTTTCAGAACTTCGTCAATTTCACTCGTTCAGGTAACCGTCGGTTCTCTCACTCTTAACTTTTCTTTATTTTTTTTCTTTTTGAAATGGCACCACGGAAGCACACGACACGACCTAGGTTAGTGATCAACCGGTCACCGGGGACGGCTGAATCTAGGACTAGGAGTGCCGCCTGCCCTTTTCCGAACCAATCTTTGCCCTTTATACAAAGTCCGACTGCTTTTGTGTCTATGCAGAACATAATGGCCAGAACAAAAAGAACTTCTAGGATCACAAACTCAGACGGCTCCTCCTACCAGGTGCCGATTAGTGAGACATCTGACCAGGCGCCAGATGTTGAAGTAAACCAAGGCGGCTTGACCGCCGACAGCTCTGAGGGAGGGGTCAAGGTGGTCCCTTCCCATTTTACAGTTGACATGTCTAACTTTTATCCCGCTCCTATCGAAGGAGAGGAGGCGGGCCCCTCTGGGAGAGGAGAGGAGTCGTCCTCTTCGGATTCGTCAGAGGACGAGTCCGAGTCTAGTTCTTCTGGTCATACTTCTCTAAACACAGAAGAGAAAAACAACCGCCTACAAGAGGCGAGGCTTTCTCACGCAGTTGAGAAGGGGGACAATTGGGCGGAGCCGTCCGCCTCTTACAGAGACCAAAATACCCCTTACTACTGCACTGTCCCCAAAGGCCGGATCAAGGCCATGCAAGAGAAAGTGGGGAGCTTTATTGCGAACCACACAATTGGCCCCGACTTTTTAGTTTTTGTGCCGGATCCAGAAGACACAGTCGTCTAGCCGGCTGGTACTAGTTATGATAGCGCCTGCTTTGGCTGCTACGAGGCGGCCATCAGGGTTGGTCTGCGCTTCCCATTACATCCGGCTGTTCAGCGGATCTTGGATGGGTATGAGTTGGGGTTATGGCAGTTAGCCCCAAACTCCTGGTTCAACGTTCTCGGCTATGTGGACGGGTGAAAACTGCACGGGGTGGAGCCAAACTTCGAGGCTTTCGCCCACATGAATTACCTCAGCTCGACCCCTAAGGCAGGCGGTACCGGCTGGTATCAATTGACGAGCCACAGAGGCTACCTCATGACAAGAGGTAAAGAAAATAAGTGGAAGGATTGGCGAAGCACTTTCCTTATCATTGAAAGTTCAGACATAGAGCTGAACAAGCGCTTCAATAGGTGGAACAGGGATCCGCCTCTTCTTGCAGGCGGCCGCAGCATGCCGCTTGTTCCTCCAAAGGCTAAGAGAGAGATTCTGGACAGAGGACTCTTCAAAGTAGAGTCGAGGGCCGACTCTACTACAGGGGTGCGAGAGCAAGTACCCCTGCACTGCGTCCCGAGCTTCAAATGACTCTATGACGAGTACTTTTTGGCCGCCTGTGGCCTCAGCAGTCGGTGTTCAAGAGGTAGCCGACCTGTCGAATACTCTCTTTTTCCATGCATTACTTGTTATAACTTTTATTAACTTTGTTTTTTGTCCTTGCAGTGGACGCCATGAGCAAGATCATCGCTTCCAAGACTGCGGCGGCTATGTTGCGAGCCTCTATCTTGCAACAATCTTCAACCGACTCTCCCAACAAGGAGGCGCCTTTGGTAAGTTCCAAGACTTTCACACACTCCTTTTTGAAATTGGGTTTACGCAGAGACTGACCGCGTGTTTTGTTGTTGTTGTTTTTTTTTTTTTTTTTTTTTTTTTTTTTTTTTTTTTTTTTTTTTAGACGGGCACTCCTAGAACTTCTTATTCCCAACAGCCGGACTCCAAGGCCCGGAGAACGACTATTGCGAGCTCTCCTGGCACGACCAGGAAAAATGCGGCGACTGAGAAACAGTCGGCCACCCCCTCTCAAACTCCAATCAGGCCACCTAGGAGTATGGACCTGTCCTTGTGAATTCTTGATGCAGCCCTTTTACTAGGTCTAACATGCTTGTTTATGCTTGATGCAGCCGGCCCTCAGGAACCGGACCTGATCGAGGTGGCCAAGTCTATGATCAAAGCCGTCCCTCCGGCTGAGAGAGAGGCGGTCTGAGGTGTTGGCACCCTTGACCTTGACGGAATCGCAGGGGTCCTGGCTGAGGTATACTTAGCATACTCTTGCCGTTTAAACTCCAGGACGCCTGTTTTTT